GGAACATCAGATGATAAAAGGTTAACACGAGCCGTAGGTGATTTTCGCTGGTTTATTTAATGGTGTAAATTTCGCAGAAGTGACGGTTATCAGTTAACACATTTTACATTGTACAAAACCTTTTTTTCGCTCCGTGCTTTCTACATGATACAGATTGTTCCTAGATTATCCCTTTCTATACTTCCCCGAACGCTCATTCCAAACATCTGAATCACAGCTACGGAAAAGACCTGTTCTAGATAAGAATAGCCATTCTACTGAGCAAGGTCAGCAAAAGGTTTTCCAAATATTTTCTGATTTAAAAGTGCAATGCATCTTAATTTATTTTCATTTGTATGAATCATCACCATTCCATGTGGATAATGTTCTGCTAAATATCCCGCAGACACAGATCCTTTGAAAACAATACCCTTTTGGTATCATAATTACAGTTTATTTTGTCATACAATAAGCCTTCGGACAGTCTGAAGAAATAGGTCCCTTATTATGATTTATATGCATGGTACTTGGCCTTGTACCTATAAGTACATCTCCTGTTCTTCTCAAGATGTATTGCACTTGTTTGATATGAGATTACATCAGGTTAGACCATCCAAATATGAGCAAACACAGCTTTGTTAGACATTTGGTAAATGCTGTTTTGTTCAGCTTGTTGTGTGTAAAGCAAATGATTTTCTATAACGTCTTTGTGACTGAGGCTTTTTTTAAATTCTGTGCATTCGTGACTGGGGCCTTTTTTGCATTTTAGCTAGGTGTTCGTTCAAGCGTACGTTTGTCCTTTCGTACTAAGTGCCTCCATGCATATTATACATTGCTTTTTGAAGGATAGATAGTGCTTTCTTCTGATACCTATACAATCACATAGAACAACATTAGCGTTAATAAAATAATACAACATAAAAAAAAATATATATTTCTAGATGATCAGCACAAATAAAAAACAAAACAAAATAGATTGATTGATGAGTTAATTAGTCCTAATTAGCTAAAGTGTCTTATATGCCCAGTATTTCAATTATTTTTGGAAGTTTTAGGATAAATGCTAGTAATAAATTATGATTTGCAAGCTAC